GAGGAGCAGGAAGGCTGATGTTTTGGGCCTAGACCATTCTTCAGAAACCCTTCTAGGCCCGAAACGTCAGCCTTCCTGCTCCTCTGATGCTGCTTGGCCTGCTGTGTTCATCCAGCTCTACACCTTGTTATCTATAATTGAATTATGATTAGATTGTTGCCTGTGGGATCTTGCTGTTCATGGATCAGTTTCCCACTTTAAAGAGAAACACATTGGCTGTAAAAGGGGATTAGTGAGGCACTACAAAAATATAAATCTGTCTCACTTTCTGATAAAAATTTATTTATTTGTCCTGGTGTTGAGTGGTGTGAGATTGTTGTGACTTAATCATTGAAAATATTATTTTGCCTCAGGCATGAACTGTGAAACAAACCTGGATGATTGTGCCAGTAACCCGTGTGAATACGGCAATTGCATCGATCAGATTAACAGTTATGACTGTGTCTGTGAGATCGGATATACAGGTAGGACTCACTGCTAAACTTCATCTCTGTCACATCATTTGATTTCACCCCTGACCCAGCTCCCCTACTGCTGAGACTGTCAATGCATACCTCAGTCCTTCCTTCAACCTACACTTTTAAATTTCACCTCCTCTGCCCCTCCCTATCTCTGTACCCTCCTCCAGCCTCCACACCCCTCTCTATCTCTGTTACCTCCTTCAACCCCTACACCCATTCCTATCTCTTCACCATCCTCCAGTCCCCTACACCCCTCCATATCTCTGTACCATCCTCCAGCTGCTACACCCCTCCCTATCTCTGTCACCTCCTCCAGCTCCTATACCCTTCCCTATCTCTGTAACCCCTTCCAGCCCCCTCAAATCTGTGCGAGATCCCTAAAGCTCACTGGTAAAACTCTGGCCATTCACATCGTAACTATCACTGTCCTCAACTTATTCCTGTTTCACCAACACTCCTCTTCATTCCCCTCTTCCCAACACCCCCCTCCTTCCCCTTCCCCACCCCCCTTCATTCCCCAGCCCCACCTTAATTCCCCTTTTCACACTCTTCCTAGCCGCACCCTTCCCACTCTCATTACTGGCCCCTCCTCCTCTTTTGTCCCTCTCTACACCTCTGTTCTAATCTTGCCCCCCACCTTCTCTCCCTCTTTCGCCCTCTCTCTCTCCTCTCTCCAGTCTAATCCCTGTCCTGATAACGTCCCCCCCACCCTTGCTTTCACCTTTAGTACCAAGGAGGGGCTGGTGTTAAATTAGATCAGTGTCTTAGATGAGGGCATGTAATAGTGGCTGGACACAAAGATGGTAGACAGAAAGGGAAGTGAGTGATGGGGATGAGGCAATTGAGCAGTGAGAATGAGGAATGTGAGTGTGAAGATGTCTTTACAAGGATGCAGACTAATGTGGATAGTTTCAGTGAATGGGCAAAAATCTGGTAGGTGGAGTACAATGTGAGAAAATGTGAAGTTGTTCTCCTTTGCAGGAAGATAAAAAAGACAGTTTTATATAAACATAAAATGACAACAAAATTTTGAGTTGCAGAGGGATCTGGGTGTTATAGTGCACAAGTCACAAAGAGTTAGTATGCAGCTACAGCAAATCATTAAAAAGCTAATGGGGTGTTATCCTTTATTATCAGAGAAATTGAACACAAAGAAGAATGATCAGAAACAGAGATGGCTGAAGAAACTCAGCAAGTCTGGCAACATCCATGGAGAGTGAAACAGAGTCAATGTTTCAGTTTGATGAAGGGTCACTGGACTTGAATCATTAACTGTTTCTCTCTCCACAGATGCTGCCAGACTTGCTGAGTTTCTCCAGCAATTTCTGTTTTTGTCTCAGATTTTCAGGATCGGCAATTCTTTGTTTTATAGAGATGCACTTGTTATGCTTTGGTTGTACCAGATATTGATGAGACCTCATGGATAGGTTGCAGCAGCAATTGGATGCACTTAGGAGCATGAGAGTGGCGGAAAGCATCATAGACAGTAGCTTTAGAGATGTGGTGACACCCAACGTGCAGGCAGATAGATGGGAGATTGCTAGAAAGGGCCAGTGCAGGAATCCCCCTGTGGTTGTCCCCCTCTCTAACAAGTGTACCATTTTGGATACTGCTGGGGGAGATGACCTATCAGGGTCCAACTGACATAAGGCTCACCAGCCTGTAATTAGCTGGATTATCCCTTCTTAAACAAAGGAACAACATCAGCATTTTAAAGCTTACTGAATTGTGATCACTGCTTCCCTACTGAGACATCGACCACCTGGCCAGGCTCATTCCCCAATACTAGGTCCAGTACAGCACCTTTCCTGGTTCGACTATCTACATACTGTTTCAAGAAGCCATCCTGGATGCTCCTTACAAACTCTGCCTTATCTGCGCCCCAAGCACTAAGTGAGTCCCAGTCAATATATGGGAAGCTAAAATCACCCACAACAACAACTCTGTTACTTTTACATCTTGCCAAAATCTGCCTACATTTCTGTTCTTCTATCTCCTGCTGGCTGTTGGGAGGCCAATTGTAAACCCTAAACACTGTGATTGCACCCTTCCTGTTCCTGAGCTCAACCCATATTGCCTCGTTGTATGAGCCATCCGAGGAATCCTCCGCAGTACAGCTGTGATAATCCCCTTAACAAGTAGTGCAACTCCCCCACCTTTTTTACATTCCCCTCTATCCCACCTTAAACATCTGTATCCTGGAATGATAAACTGGCAATCCTGTCCCTCTCTTAACCAAATTTCTGTAACAACAACATCATAGTTCCAAGTACTAATCCAAGCTCTAAGTTCATCTGCCTTACCTATTACACTTCTCGCTTTGAAACAGATGCATTCAGTCCATCAGACCCGCTTTGATCAGCAACCACACCCTGCCTGCTCTTCCTCTGAGTCTTACTGGTCCTATTCTCTAGTTCCCTTTCAGTCAATTCACCTTTGCATTGGTTCCTCCCCGCCAACCCTGCCAAGCTAGTTTAAATCTTCCTGAGAGGATTCTTCGAGATAGGATTTACTCCCACTTGGAAATAAGTGGGCGCATTAGCAAGAGGCAACATGGTTTTGTGAAGGGGATGTTGTGTCTCATTAACTTGATTGAGGTTTTTGAGGAAGTGACAAAGATGATCGATGAGGGTAGGGCGGTGGATGTTGTCTACATGGATTTCAGTAAGACCTTTGACAAGGTCCCTCATGGCAGACTGATATAAAAGGTAAAGTCACATGGGGTCAGAGGTGAGCTTGCAAGATGGATAAAAAAAACTGGCTCGGTCATAGAAGACAGAGGGTAGCAGTGGAAGGGTGCATTTCTGAATGGAGGACTGTGACTAGTGGCGTTCCTCAGGGATCAGTGTTGGGACCTTTGCTATTTGTAATATATATAAATGATTTGGAGGAAAATGTAACTGGTTTGATTGGTAAGTTTGCGGATGACACAAATGTTGGTGGAATTGCGGATAGCCACGAGGACCGTCAAAGGATACAGCAGGATATAGATCGGTTGGTGGCTTGGGCAGAGAGATGGCAAATGAAGTTTAATCTGGGAAAATGTGAGGTAATGCATTTTGGAAGATCTAATCCAGATGGAAAATATACAGTAAATGGCAGAACTCTTAAGAGTACTGATAGGCAGAGGGATCTGGATGTACAGGTACACAGGTCACTGAAAGTGGCAATGCAGGTGGAGAAGGTACTCAACAAGGCATACAGCATGCTTGCCTTCATCTGCCGGGGCATTGAGTTTAAAAATTGACAGATAATATCGCAGCTTTATAGAACCTTAGTTAGGCCGGAAGGTTCTGAGGAAGGGTCACCGGACCTGAAACATTAACTCACATTTACCAGGATGTTGCCTGGTATGGAGGGCATTAGCAATGAGGCGGGATTGGAGAAATTTGGGTTGTTCTCACTGGAATGACAGAGTTGAGGGGCGACCTGGTAGAGGTCTACAAGATTATGAAGGGCATGGACAGAGTGGACAGTCAGAAGTTTTTTTCCAGGGTGGACGAGTCAGTTACTAGGGGGCATGGGTTTAAGGTGCAAGGAGCAAGGTTTAAAGGTGATGTACGAGGCAAGATTTTTACACAGAGGGTGGTGGGTGTCTGGAACTTGCTGCCGGGGAGGTAGTGGAAGCAGATACGATAGTAACTTTTAAAGGTCCTCTTGACAAATATATGAATAGGGTGGGAATAGAGGGATACAGTCTCTGGAAGGGTAGGGGGTTTTAGTTGCGATGGGCAGCACGTCGGTGCAGGCTTGGAGGGCCAAAAGGCCTGTTCCTGTGCTGTAATGTTCTTTGTTCTTTGTAGACCACACCTTGAATACTTTGTATAGATTTGACCTGCTTATTGGAGGAAGAATGTATATGAATTGGAGGAAGTTAGGAGGAGGTTTACCAGATTGAGAGCTGGAATGAGTGGACTGTTTTGTGGGAAAGGTTGGACAGATTGGGCTTGTTTCCACTGGGGTTTAGAAGAGTGAGGGGGTGACTAAAGTGTATTAGATGCTGAATGATCTTGACACGGTGGATATGGAAAGGATATTTCCTCTTGAGGGTCAGTCCAAAACCGGATGCATTGTTTTAAAATTAAGGTCAACCTTTTAGGCCAGAGAGGAGGGGAATTTTTTTCTGAGGATTGAGAGACTCTACAACACTGCATCACAAGGCAGTAGAGGTGGGATCATTAAATATTTTTAAGGCAAAGGTTGATTGTTAGGCAGGGATATCGAGGGTTACGGTGATGTGGGGGGTTAGTGGCAGTGGGAGATGGGAATGTGGAATTCAAAACGCAAACAGATCAATATGATCTTGAATGGCAGAGCAGAGTTGAGGAGTGAATGGCCTACTTCTGCTCCAGATTCCTAAATAGTAGGTAAATGCTTCAGGCTCTGGCGGCACTGAGTCTTGCCGCCTTCTAATTGTATTTAAACTCTATTTGAAATGACGGGCAAAAGAGGGAAGTGAAAGCAGTGAAGTGTGTGTTGCCAGGGCAGTGATGTGTCTGCCCAAACCCAGTCAACGGCAGCAGGGAAATAGAGGAGCCTGAGTGAAAAGGCCGAGAGTCATCAGTCACAGCAATTCTCAGGGGTATCAGGTTCCTTCTCCTGGTTGATGGCCCCCTCCCTTGCTCTCTCCCTCAATGTGGAGAATTTCTCCCCGACACTGTGTTGCACCTGAACCACAGGCAGATCACGGCCATCTCCAGAAACAGGCACAGGAGCGTCAGACAAACAGGGTTACGTTCCAAATAAAGGGCCCATTATGAAGTGGACGATCCATCTGGCGTCTCTGGTTACGGGGTCACGCTGCTGCTTTCAAAGATCGAGGGCAGGTGAAGCAGAAAACAATCCTGACACCTGAGAACAGCAAGGCCTCCCCACCCTGTTGCTGTTTTTGTTTCTGGGGGCGGGGGTGGGATTCGATACTGAGCAACCCATTTATGAATGCATCGCACAGCAATCTTTTGAAGTTTGATTTGAGTAGTTGAGAGGTTACAGAACTTACTGACTGATGCCGCGTCTCTATAACTGTTAATCTCCCTCAATCTCTAGTTTCCAGGCTCCCTTCTGACTCTCACTGGGGTACAGTTCTCACACACACTGACTCTCACTGGGGTACAGTTCTCACACACACTGACTCTCACTGGGGTGTGGCTCCCACACACACTGACTCTCACTGGGGTGTGGCTCCCACACACACTGACTCTCACTGGGGTGTGGCTCCCACACACACTGACTCTCACTGGGGTACAGTCCCACACACACTGACTCTCACTGGGGTACAGTCCCACACACACACTGACCCTCACTGGGGTACAGTCCCACACACACTGACTCTCACTGGGGTACAGTCCCACACACACTGACTCTCACTGGGGTACAGCTCCCCCACACACTGACTCTCACTGGGGTACAGTCCCACACACACCGACTCTCACTGGGATACAGCTCCCCCACACACTGACTCTCACTGGGGTACGGCTCCCACACACACTGACTCTTACTGGGGTACAGTCCCACACGCACTGACTCTCACTAGGGTATGGCTCCCACACACACTGACTCTCACTGGGGTACAGTCCCACACACACTGACTCTCAACTGGGGTATGGCTCCCGCACACACTGACTCTCACTGGGGTATGGCTCCCACACACACTGACTCTCACTGGGGTACGGTTCCCACACACACTGACACTCACTGGGGTACGGCTCCCGCACACACTGACTCTCACTGGGGTACGGTTCCCACACACACTGACACTCACTGGGGTACAGTCCCACACACGCTGACTCTCACTGGGGTACAGTCCCACACACACTGATTCTCACTGGGGTATGGCTCCCGCACACACTGACTCTCACTGGGGTACAGTCCCACACACACTGACTCTCACTGCGGTACAACTCCAACTCACACTGACTATCCCCCACACACTAACTCTCACTAGGGTATGGCTCCCACACACACTGACTCACACTGGGGTATGGCTCCCACACACACTGACTCTCAACTGGGGTATGTCTCCCCCACACACTGACTCTCACTGGGGTATGGCTCCCACACACACTGACTTTCAACTGGGGTTTGGCTCCCGAACACACTGACTCTCACTGGGGTAAGTCTCCCACAAACACACTCTCACTGGGGTACAGCTCCCCCACACACTGACTCTCACTGGGGTACGTCTCCCACAAACACTGACTCTCACTGGGGTACAATCCCACACACACTGACGCTCACTGTGGTACGGCTCCCACACACACTGACTATCACTGGGGTACAGCTCCCCCACACACTGACTCTCACTAGGGTATGGCTCCCACACATACAGACTCACACTGGGATATGGCTCCCGCACACACTGACTCTCACTGGGGTATGGCTCCTACACACACTGACTCTCACTGGGGTACAGTCCCACACACACTGACTATCACTGGGGTACAGCTCCCGCACACACTGACTCTCACTCGGGTATGGCTCCCACACACACCGACCATTAACTGGGGTATGGCTCCCGCTCACACTGATGCTTACTGGGGAACGTCTCCCACACACACTGACTCACACTGGGGTATGGCTCCCACACACACTGACTCTCAACTGGGGTATGGCTCCCGCACACACTGACTCTCACTGGGGTACGGCTCCCGCACACACTGACTCTCACTGGGGTACGGTTCCCCCACACACTGACACTCACTGGGGTACAGCTCCCACACACACTGACTCTCACTGGGGTACGGCTCCCACACACACTGATTCTCACTGGGGTACAGTCCCACACATGCTGACTCTCACTGGGGTACAGTCCCACACACACTGATTCTCACTGGGGTACAGTCCCACACACACTGATTCTCACTGGGGTACGGCTCCCGCACCCACTGACTCTCACTGAGTACGTCTCCCGCACACACTGACTCTCACTGGGGTACAGTACTGAACATCCTACTACTACCTGAGTGTTTCTTTTTATTGTATTAGTCCCCACGATCAGTCAGTGTTGGGCCACTATCCGACTGCGGATGTATCACATTTAAGGCTGTTCCTGTGTCCTCCAGGAGTTACCCTGTAAGAGACACGAGCCTGGACTGCAGTCTAAATCTGAGGTCCATTGCACACTCACTCCTCCTGCAGTAGCCCGCACATAGCCCCTCTGGAAGTTTAGAGGCCGTGTTGAACCCTTCCTGGTTGCAGCCCGTCATCGTTAGCTGCTGTGTGTCATACTGCTCATATCTTAGATGCAACTAGCAAAGCTGTAACTCTCACTAATGTTCATTGAATTCCCATCATCTTTCACGCTGTTCTTAAAATATTCATGTTTTGCCAAATTGTCATTCTCTATCCTCACAAAACTATGGTGGTGGTCTTTATTACTGTTTTGTTTTATTGCTGGTCTTTATGAATCTGCATGTTGTGTGTCTGTGCTTCAGGTCCTATGTGTAACATTAATATTGACGAGTGTGCTTCAAACCCCTGCCACAATGGGGGGACCTGCAAAGACGGCATCAACAGCTTCACTTGTGTCTGTCCAGAGGGTTATCACGACCTGGTTTGTCTGTCAGAGGTGAATGAGTGTAACAGCAATCCCTGTATCCACGGAGAATGTCGAGACCATCTCAATGGGTGAGTGTCCTTTCATCACTTGATGTCCACAGCAGGGCAAGGGTGGGGGAGGAATCAGCAGAGTGTGGGGAGCAAGACCTGAGATGGAGCTTTACTCTGTATCTAACCCCATGCTTTCCCTGTCCTGACAATGTTTGATGAGGACAGTGTACATGATGCTTTACTCTGTGTCTAACCCATGCTGTGCCTGTTCTGGGAGGGAGGGAGTGTAGAGGGAGATTTACTCTGTATCTAACTCTGTGCTGACCCTGTCCTGGAAGTGTTTGATAGGGACAGTGTTGTCTGTATTGTCTAACCCTGTTCTCTCTCTAACAGGTACAGCTGTGAGTGTAGTCCAGGCTGGACCGGAACAAACTGTGACCTGAATGTTAATGAGTGCGAGTCTCACCCCTGTGTCAATGGGGGCACATGTCGAGACATGAACAACGGCTACCTGTGTGACTGTCAGCCTGGGTTCCGAGGTGAGGACAGTGTTAGCGTTAGGGTTAGGGTGGGGCTGGCCCAGAGATGGTGTCAGGGTTAGCTCCTTCTCTGCTGCATTTTGTTGTATGACTGACAGCAGAGTGGGGCTGAACTGTCAGGTGCTCTCTCTCTCTCTCTCTGCTTCTGTCACATTCTCTCCCCCCACTTATCCTTCTCTCTTTCAGCAGCTCTAATATTTCCTCTTTCCTCATTCTTTGTCTTGGTTACCTCTGTCTGTCTGTGTGTCTCTCTTGTTTCTCCATCATCTTTCTCTTTTGGCTGTCTCACTATTTCTCCTGCATCTGTGTATCCCACTCTTCTCTCTCTCTTTATCACTTTCCCCATGTTTTTCTCCTTCTTCCCCTCTTTTTCTCTCTATCTCACTTCTCTCTCTTTACCTCCTATCTCTCTCCTCCTCAGTCTTCACCCACTCTCTCCCCACTCTGCTTTCTCTCTCTTTCTCTATATCTCTCTTCCACTTCCCATCTCTCTCTCACCTTGCCTGTCTCCCTCCCTCTCTCTCCCCCACAACTCTCTCTCTCTCAGACAGTACTGTAATTTGTCATCTTTCCGTTGATGTGTGGTTTTGTTTCTGTTCTAGGACCCAACTGCCAGACGAACATCAATGAGTGTGCATCAAACCCCTGCTTGAACCAGGGGAGCTGTATTGATGATGTTGCTGGATACAAGTGTAACTGTGTTTTACCATACACAGGTAATGGATTCAGGGCCAGCTCAGCCCCAGGGCTCAGTCAGTCAGCACCCCCATATGCTTTGCTACCATGTAAGCTATAAACACTTGGGAAAATCCTGCTGCAAAGATGTTGTAGAACAAAGACAAACTTGCATTTATAAGGCACCTTTCACAAACTCAGAATGTCCTAAAGCAGGTTACAACAATAGTATTTGTTGAATACTGACACTGTTGTAATGCAGGGCAGGCAGTTCGCACAGAGCAAGATCCCACAAAAGAAATGTCATAAATGACCAGATAATTTATTATTGTAATATCAGTTCAGGAGTAACTGTTAAGTCAGACGCCAGGGTCCACTTACCCATTTTCTTAACTTTTATATCGACTTGAGGGGAAGGACAGGGTCAATTTAACATTTCTTTCAGATAACAGATCTCTGACAGTGTAGCACTCCCTCAGCAATGACGTCCTGACAGTGCAGCGTTCCCTCAGCACTGACCCTCTCACAGTGTGGCACTCCCTCAGTACTGAACCTCCAACAGTGAAGCACTCCCTCAGCATTGACCCTCCGACAGTGCGGCACTCCCTCAGCACTGACCCTCCGACAGTGCGGCACTTCCTCAGCACTGACCCTCCGACAGTGCAGCACTCCCTCAGCACCAACAAGAGAACTGAACCATCACACTCGGTGACATTACCAATTATCTGAATCCTCCACTGTCCACATGCTAGAGATTACCATTGACCAAAAACTGAACTGGACTAGCCATACAAAAAACTGTATCGTCAAGACCAGGCCAGTGGCCAGGAATCCTTCAGTGAGTAGTTCTCCTGCTGACTCTGCGAAGCCCGTTCACCATTTATAAGGCACAAGTCGGAAGTGTGCTTGAATGCAATCTACTTGCCTGATGAGTGCAGCTCCAACTACACTCAAGACGCTTGACTCCATCCAGGACAAAGCAGCCTGCTTGATATTGGCACCACATTCTCAAACATTCACTTCCACCAAAACCGAGGCACACTGCTGCATTGACATGGTACAGGACATTGGTTAGGCCACTTTTGGAATACTGCGTTCAATTCTGGTCTCCCTGCTATAGGAACAGACCAAAAGGTCTGTTTCTGTGCTGTACATCTCTCTGACTCTATGATCCTCTAACAATGCAACACTCCCTCAGTACTGACCCTCCAATGGTGCAGCACTCCCGCAGCATTGACATTCTGACAGTGCAGCACTATCTCAGTACTGACCCTCCAATAGTGTGGTGCTCCCTCAGCCCTGGCGCTCCGAATTTTGTGCTGGAGCCCCTGGAATAGGATCTGATTCAGTGTCCACTGAGCCATGGCTGATACTTTCATGCATTGTCCTTAAGGAATGGAAGCCATTCAGCCCCTTTGCTGGGACTTTGAAAGTGCTTCATGTTTAGTCCTATATTCTTCTTCTTGTCCATCTCTCTATAGGTCCCTCAACACCAAGGACGTAATGGTTCAGGACAGTTAAAGAAATTGGTTAAGAAGGCATGTGGGATACCAGCCTTTACTGGCCAAGGTACACGGTTTCAGAGGAGGGAGGTGAGGCTGGAACTATATAAAACATTGGTTAGGCCACAGCGAGAGTACTGTATGCAGTTCTGGAATCCACATTATGGGAGGAATGTGACCCCACTGGAGAGGATGCAGAGGAGATTTACCAGGATGTTGTCTGGGCTGGAGAGTTTCAATGATGAAGAAAGATTAGACAGACTAGGGTTGTTTTCCTTAGAGCAGAGGAGATTGAGAGGGGACAGACATGTTGAGGTGTATAACATTATGAGGAACATAGGCAGGATAGACAGAAAGGAACATTTCCACTTGATAGTGGGATCAATGACCAGGGGCATAGATTGAAGGTGAAGGGCAGGATGTTTAGAGGAAATGTAAGGATAAACTTTTCACCCAGAGGGTAGCGAGAATCTGGAACTCACTGCCTGCAAGGGTGGGAGAGGCAGAAGCCCTTGTACATTGAAGAAAGATTTAGACATACACTTGTGATGCCAAGATATGCAAGGATATGGGTCAAATGCTGGGAATTGGGATTAGAATAATTTGGGGATTGTGATTGAACAGCACAGACCTAATAGGCCAAAAGGCCTTTCTCTGAATTCCACGTGGACCTCTCCACCTCAATGAGCTGGCAAGCTCCCGGTTAAAGTTACTAATAGAACCAGCTCTCTCCACCGAGTGCTCCTGATCCGGACAACTCTCCAAGTGAAAAACAATTCCCATCTCCCATCGCAATCTCTGAAACCTTTCGTAATGTCTCACGGGAAGACAATTTCTTCAGCGACTTTGATGGAAATCTGTCATTGTTTTGAGACTGCCTGTGAGTTCATGTTCTCTTGCTGCAATGACTGGGGCTCGAACCTTCAGTTTGTGAATGAGAGAGAGCCAAATGCTGAGTGTGAGTGTGAAGGGGAGTCAGATTGCAGGACCTGACCACCACCTCAACCCCTGTACCTTCCCCCACTTCCTCCCCCCCTCAATCACGATCGGCCATGTGGTATCCGGACAGCATTCCGGCTGCTGTTTGGGGACAAGGATTCTTTGCCAAGGCGGAGTGAGAATAAACAGACGACAGATTTCCTGCTGAGGGTTCGGATGACAAGGGGCTACTGATTCCCAGTTTCCTGTTCCCTGGATTCGGAGCCACACAGGGAACAATTGGTGGAACTGGCGTCACCTTTCCTGTCCTGGCAGTGTTTCCATGGTAACCGGACAAGAAAATAATCCGCACTTAGGGAAAGTAGTGAGAAGCAAAATTTATTTTCAAACTGGCTACTCGAGCAAAACAAAATTGCAGACACTTTGACATTTTAAATTCTTTTCAACAGGTAGTTTCTCAAGTGTTCAATCCTTTTGTTGTTCTGGGAACTCTGGTGAAATGGGAGGGGGTAAATCACTGGGATAAATTACACAGAAAACATCCCAAAGTCAGCTCCTTTCATTGGAAAGGGACCCCTGCTGGACTAACTGAGAGTCAGTGTGTGAGGGAACCGTACACCAGTGTCAGTGTGTGTGGGATCTATACCTTATACTGCATTATCTCTCTTCTAACTGGTTGGCACTTATCCTGAGACTGTGCCCCCAGGTTTAGTGCCCCCAGGTTTAGAACCCCCAGGTTTGTGTTGGGGAGGGATGGTGGTGGAAACAGCTTTGCCCTTTCTCCTTTGACCAACTCCTGCAGAATCTTGTACACCTCGATGAGATTGCTGGACTTTCTGTTAAACACCACATGCTAAGCCTTCTGTCACCTTATCAAAACTTGGACAGCTGTACCATTTTCTGAAGAAGGGTCTCGACCCGAAACATCAGCTTTCCTGCTCCACTGATGCTGCTTGGCCTGCTGTGTTCATCCAGCTCTACATTGTGTTATCTCAGCTGTACCATGGTCTCAGATTTCCTGTGCTCATTTTGCTGTAAATGTCCAATATGCGACAGCATGTAGATTTGCAATTGAACACTGTCCAGACCATGTCGATGGGATGGCTTTCTGGGTTTGAGTCCTGTTTGATTTACCCATTCCCTCCCCTACTGTTGTTAACTGGGAGACCCTTGTCCAGCTGTGAGTAGGCACCTGATGCTGGTCAAGATGGTGTTTTCTTGTGTCTTGTGTTTGTTTTGTTAATAATGGTGCCATTTGTTGACAGGAGTGAATTGTGAGGACGTCCTTGCTCCATGCTCCAGTCAGCCATGTCAGAATGGTGGTGTGTGTCACGAGTCTGAGGATTACGAGAATTTCTCCTGTGACTGTCCAGAGGGATGGCAAGGTGAGGAGGGTCAGAGAAACCGGGACCCTTCTCCCAGCTGAGATCATTCCCTCCCCACCCCACTACCGTGTGAGCCCCTCTCCCCGACACCAACACCATCCTCCGACACCATCACTGCCACGCAATACAGCCCTTACTCACAAACGCCCTCTCCCTGACACTGCCACCCCCTATACAATCTCCTGACCTGCTCCAGGTGTGATTTCAAAGCCCACCCCCGGCGTGACACCCAATCTGTGATACCAGCCCCCCAAACACCCCCTTCCCTCCCCCTACCAACACCCAAAATTATTCCCTCCCTCTCTGCTCAATGTGATCCCCACCCATGCATGTGACCCCCCCCCCGCCCTGGGGTTGGGGAGGGTGGGTGTGGATTTTACACACACTGCTTTAGTTACACTCAGCCGTATATAATGCAGCCTCTCGGATTTGCTGTGAGATTAATGCCGGTATTCTCTCTGTCCAGGTCAGACCTGTCAAAAAGATGTGAACGAATGTGTGAAAAGCCCATGCCTCAATGGAGCCACTTGCCAGAACTCGATGGGAGGATTCCAGTGTGTCTGCCGACAGGGTTACACCGGCACCCTCTGTGAGACTGATGTGGACGATTGTCAGCCCAGTATGTGGAGACAGAGAGAAACTATATTGTCAATAGTGTGGCACTCCTACAGCACTGACCCTCTGAAAGTGCCGCACTCCCTCAGTGCCGACCCTCCGACACTGCAGCACTTCCTCAGTACTGACGCTCCAACAGTGCGGTGCTCCCTCAGCACTGACCCTCCGACAGTGCGGTGCTCCCATAGTACTGACCCTCTGACAGTGCAGTGCTCCCGCAGCACTGACCCTCTGACACTGCACCAATCCCTCAGTACTGATCCTCTGACAGTGCAGTACTCCCTCAGCACCGACCCATCAACAGTGTGGGACTCCATTAGTACTGACCCTCCAACGGTTCGCCACTCCCCCAGCATTGACCCCCATTCAGTGTGGCAATCGCTCAGTGCTGACCTAATGTCGCTTTGTGATTTGCTGTCTGATTTCAGTTCCTTTGAAAAGCCTTGGTGGAGGGGATGTTTTTGTACAATGGTGCTATCTGAATGCGTGTATTGGCTCTTGTCTTGATCTAACCTGTTTTTCATTTTGCCTGCAACAGATCCATGCCATAATGGAGGCTCGTGCTCCGATGGTGTCAGTAGCTTCACCTGCGACTGTCTCCCTGGATTCCGTGGCCCCAAATGCGAGGAGGATATTAACGAGTGCGCCAGTGACCCCTGCAGGAACAGTGGTAACTGCACGGACTGTGTCAACAGTTACACATGTACCTGCCCCCTGGGCTTCAATGGTATGCATTGTGAGAACAACACTCCTGACTGCACAGAGAGGTGAGCACTGAATCCTTCAGATCATAAGAAATAGCAATAGGAGTAAGTTATTTGCCCCCTTGAGCCTGCTCCACCATCAATAAAATCATGGCTGATCCAACATTCCTCAGTCCAATTTCATTGACTATGAGATCCTGGATTGGAGTTGTTAACCAGGGCCAATTAGGGAGTCTTGGCTGACAGATATAAATAGTGGATTATGATAATAGTGTCAGGCTTAGCCACTGGTGTTTTGTAACAATAAAACACAGCAATTAAACTGCCTGTACAATTACTTTAAAAACCAAAAGGCAGTCCTGACATTTGGTATATGTTGTTAATTCTGACTGCAGCAGAATGTGTGCTGTGCAGTTCTGTGCCTGTCTCTTCAGTGTCTAAGTTATTGCTCTATTCTACTGTTTCCAACCTTGGGTATCATTAAAACATTTCAATTGTGCAATAAACTTTTTTGTATGAAGTTATATTGTACTGCAACAGCTAAAATCCTTAACATTTTTGATGTAATAGTAGATTTTTTCATAGAATAGATCATAGACTCCCTACAGTGTAGAAACAGGCCCTTCAGCCCAACAAGTCCACACTGACCCTCACAGCATCCCACCCAGACCCATCCCCCAACAACCCACACATCCCTGAACACTATGGGCAATTTAGCATGGCCAATCCACCTAGCCTGCACATCTTTGGACTGTGGGAGGAAACCGAAGCACCCGGAGGAAACCCACGCAGACACGGGGAGAACATGCTAACTCCACACAGACAGTTGCCTGAGGGTGGAATTGAACCCTAGTTCCTGGCGCTGTGAGGCAGCAGTGCTAACCACTGAGCCACCATGCCACCCTTTGAAGGATTAAACTTAAAATAAATCCCTTGAAACCTGAACAAAAATGATCAGGGGATTCAAGAGTCTCCTGATTTCAGGCACTGTCTCTGAGCTGCCTGGTCAGAGTCCATTTGCGGTGCACATATAAATAAAGGGTGACCTGGTGATGGGATATCGGCCCCTGTGCAGTTACTTCAATTATTAATATTTAATCGTGAAACCCAAAATTTAGCCTTTGAAATCTGAAGTTGCAACCAACTAGAAGATTCCGCGCCAGATTAAACTTGATATTCCCGGAGCTAAGCGTAGGGTGAAACGGCAGCAGGAATGCCAATGCCAACTGCATGCTTCCTCTAAGCAAGAGAAACCGTTTACTTCAGGGGATGAAGTTCGGTGCTGGAACCACGGAAATGGCCCTGCTTGGGTACGAGATGAGGTCAACGCAAGGTCAGGTCCAGTGACATACAAAGTTCAGGTAAACGAGGCAGTCCTGAACAAATACGTGGGTCATATGAAAGCTGCTACCCCACAAACAGGGCAGGAGCAAAACATACCTGGCCCCTCAATAGCCAGAAGGCCTGTCAGAAATGGTGGGTTCTCCCTCTCTGTCTAGAACTAAAGAAACCTTACAGTCCAAGACGGATGCAACATCGATACCGTTACTGCCGAAGAAGAGGATGAGACTCTTCTGGGATGTTCTGGATGCAAGAGACAGTCCAGCACACACTGCCCATTACTGAGTCAGAAGAACTGGACCTGCGGCAAAAACATCCCAGGAGAAGCTGCCAGAGAAAAGATCAGGTCTACATCCCCAGACTTAGTCGGGAAGAGATATGGTGATTGGAACCAGGTGGATGTCATTGACTGAGATCCTTGATTGGAGTTGTTAACCTGGGCCGATCAGAGAGTCCTGGCTGACAGATATAAACAGGGGATTCAGAGAAATAAAAACGAGAGATGGAAAGTATCCTCACTTCAGGGACTGACTCCAGGGGGGAGAAAAAATAATAAACAGTGGATTCAGAGAGTCTTCTCACTTCAGGAACCAACTCTGAGCTGGCTGGTCACAGCCAATGTATTGTGCATATGTAAAGGATGACTTGGTGATGGGATACTGGCCTCTGTGCATTATTTCAACCTGTAACCTTTGATCATCTACTGATCAAGAATTTATCTATCTCATCAGTAAATATATTCAAGGACTCTGCCACCACAGTTCTCTGTGGCAAGGAGTTCCAAAGACTCTCAACTCTCCGGGAGGAGAAATTCCTTCTCATCTCAGGTGCCCCTTTATTCTGAGACTGTGTTCTGTGGTCCTAGACTTTTCCAATGAGGGGAAACATCCTCTTGGCATTTATCCTGTCGAGCTCGTTAAGAATCCAATATGTTTCAATGAGATCACCTCTCATTCTCCTAAACTCCAGTCAGTAGAGTCCCAACCTGTTTTGCCATTGGAGGAGGGACTGGGGAGAGGGAAGAGATTGGAAGAGAGACAGGGGTACAGAGAGTGATGGAGTAACTGAATGAGAGAGGGTGGAGGAAATCGCTTTGGACGTAGCTTACTGTGTAGGGCAGTACTGGAGGGAGGGTAGGACATATAACCAATGCCCAGTCAAACAGATTGGTTTAAGGATCATATTCAAGGAGAGAGTGGTTCGGGGGAAATTCCAGAGCTTTGGTTCCAGGCAACTGAAGGTCAAAGTGTGTTCAAAATCCTGAGGGGATTAGATTGAGTGAATCAGGAGAAGCTGTATCGGTGACAGGAGGGTCAGTGCCCAGAGGGACACAGATTGAAGGGAATCAGTAAAAGAACCAGAGGGGGAGAAGAGGAGAATGTTTTTGATGCAATGAGTTGTTGTGTTCTGGGATGTGCTGCCTGCAAAAGCAGTGAGAGCAGATTCAACAGGAACTTTCTCAAAGGGAATTGGAGAAATACTGGAAAAGGGGAATTTGCAGGACTTTGGAGAAAGAGCAGGGGGATTGAGACTGATTGATTAGAGAGCCAGTACAGGGATGATGATGGAATTGTCTCTTTATGAGCTGTACATTCTACAGGAATGCATTATATTAATACTGAGTTTTTTTGTTTGTTTCGCAGCTCGTGTTTTAACGGTGGGACTTGTATTGATGGAATCAATACCTTCACCTGCCTCTGTCCGACTGGTTTCACAGGCAGTTACTGCCAACACAACATCAATGAGTGTGACTCCAGACCGTGTCTCAATGCTGGCACTTGTCACGACAGTTATGGCACGTACAAATGCACTTGTCCCCAGGGCTACTCTGGCCTCAACTGTCAGGTGGGTGCAATCTCACCAAACAACTAACCCATGAACACTTTCACCTGTTGCTACATCCCCCGGTGGTGGGGCTGGAGGGTGGCCTGAGTTGGAGGCCAGGTGAGGCTGGGATCTGCAAAGAGCATTTTATCAATTAAAGAACCATTTATTCATAAATTAGGATGAGAGAGATTTGATTGAGGTTCTCAGTATCACAAGGGTCTGGACAGAGTGGATTGGGAGCAACCATTCCTGATAGTGAAAGGTTAAGAACCAGAGGGTACAAATTTGCAGAATCCAAAAGATAAACTGGGGATTTCCCTGGAGCACCAAAGGTTCAGGAGGGACCTGATAAGGGGGTAAAAGATTATGAGGGGCATGGACAGGTTGGATAGCTACTCCATTATTGGACCGATCAATAACCAGGGCATAGATTTAAGCAAAGGGGTAGAAGGCTAAAGCAGTAATGAGGAGAAATGTTTTCGATATAGAAGAGAATGTGGGTAAGTTTGTGGATGACACAAAGATTGGCTTGATGGTTGACAGTGAGGAAGAAGGTGGTAAGTTACAGGAGGATACCGACAGAATCAGGTCAGTGGCAGATGATGCTTAACCCTGATAAATGTGAGGTGAACTGCTTGGGAATAAGTAACAAGATGAGGGAATACTCAATGAAGGGCAGATCACTAGGATGCTCAGAGGAACAGAGGGATATTACAGAGCTTGTCCCCAGATTCCTGAAAGTGACAGGAAAAGGTAATAGAATAGTTAAGAAGGCATACAGGACATTTGTGTTTATTAGTCTTGGCATAGATTACAAGAGCAAGGAGATTATTTTGGAGCTGTACATTTCATTAGTTAGGCCACAGCTGGAGCACTGTGTGCAATCCTGGTCGCCACACTGTAGGAAGGACGTGATTCCACTGGAGGGGGTGCAGAGGAGATTCCCCAGGATGTTGCCTGGGATGGACCATTTCAGTGATGAAGAGAGGCTGGATAAGCTTGGGTTGTTTTCTTGGAGCAGACAAGTTTGAGAGGGGACCTGGCAGAGCTGTATAAAATTATGGGGTACATGGACAGGGTGAATAGAAATCAGCTGTTTCCCTTAGTTGTAGGGCCAATGAAAAGATTAATGATTTTAAGGTAAAAGGCAGGCCGCTTAAAGGGAATTAGAGGAAAAGCCGTTTTACTCAGAAGATGCTGGGGGTCTGGTATGCACTGCCTGGGAAGGTAGCTGAAGCAGGAAACCTCACAAACTTTAAAAAGTACTTAGATGAGCACTTGAAATGTCATAACATTCAAGACCATAGGTCTATTGTTAGTAAGTGGGACTAACATAGATAGGTCAATGCAGATGTGATGGGCTGAAGGACTTCTTCTGTACTGTGTGACTCCATAACTATGACACTCAAGAGGGTGGTGGGAGTCTAGAACTCTCTGCCTGAAAGGGTGGATGATTTGGTAATGTCTGATAATCTCCAGAGCTATGGGCCAAGAGCTGGGAAGGGGGATGAATGCAGTAGTCAAGTCATTGTTGATTGGTGCAGGCATGATGGGCTGAATGGCCTACTTCTGTGCTGTAAACATTTGTTTCTACAAGAGAAGCAATGGTATCACAAGAAGGAACAACACTCGACATTGTGGATGATGTCTAGTTCTGTGAAGGTGGAAAATGGGAGAATGGCTAGAAGTGAGTATTCAATGTTTGTAAGTGAATACTGGTGTGTGAGGGATTCAGCAGCAGATTGGCTCATCCCAGAGTGAAGGTGGGCCAGGGCACAAGAGTGGGGTGAGGTCATGGGTTCGCCTTGGGGCTGAGTCAGGTGAGGGGTTGTGAAGGCATTGGGTTTACCTTCTCTCTCTCTCTGCCCCTCCACCTCCAGAACCTGGTACGTTGGTGTGACTCGTCACCCTGTAAGAATGGAGGAACCTGTTGGCAGACTGGCACCACTTATCGATGTGAATGTAGGAGCAGCTGGACTGGCCTCTACTGTGATGTGCCCAGTGTGTCCTGCGAGGTGGCAGCCAAACAGCAAGGTACAATCCCAATCTCCTCCATGTGGACAATCTCAACCCCCTCCAATGTCCCCGTCAAACACCCATAAACTCCATTTTTCTCCTTTCCAATACCCCCTCCAACACTCTCCTCCGACTTCCCCAACTCCCCTCCCAACCACACTGCACCCTATCCCATCTACTTCAACTCTCCCTCCACTCTGCCTTGGCCCACAGCCTCCTAACACCATTATCACCTTGCACGACCCCCCACCCCGACAGCCCCAACTCTGATACTCCCCACTCACACACAGGTCTCCACTCCCCTATCCTCATCCTGTGTCCTCTAATACTTCCACAAATGCCCACCTTCACCCTCTGATACTCTCACTCACTCTCTGACTGCCCTACCTCTTACCCTGTTGATCCTGTCAGATTCTGGGCTGTGCCGGTTGGTCATTCTTGTTTGCTGTTTGGTTGTGTAGGGCTGGATGTGGAGCAGCTGTGTCGGAACAGTGGCCTCTGTATCGATGCCGGGAACACACACCATTGTCGGTGTCAGGCTGGCTACACAGGGAGTTACTGTGAGGAGCAAGTGGATGAGTGCACCCCCAACCCCTGTCAGAACGGAGCGACTTGCACTGATTATCTGGGTGGCTACTCCTGCAAGGTAAGGTCAGACACTCAGCAGGGTTAAAGGTTAGTGTTGGGGGTCACTGCCCAGTGGCTCAGTATGGGGGGGAAGGGGTTAGTGTAGGGGTGGGGAGGGGATCAGCCCATTGGGTTTGTACTGTCAAAACTACACTACACTCCCTACACAAGTCCCACTGTCCTGCACTAGGCCCACAGCCTTGAATGTTATGACACTGGGTGCTCATGCAAATACTTATTAAGTGTTGTGAGGTTTCCCACCTCATCTCCCCTCCTAGGCAGGGAATTCCAGACCCAAAAAAACCCTCTGGTTGAAAATGTTTTTCTTCAAATCCCTTGCCTTTCACTTTAAATACATGCTCCCTTGTTATTGATCCTTTGACTAAGGGGAACAGCTGTGTTCTATCCATCCTGTCCATGCCCCTCATAATCTTACATATCTCTATCAGATTCCCCCCTCAACCATCTCTGCTCCAAGGAAAACAATCTGGATCTATCCAGCCTCTCTTCATCACTGAAATGCTCCATCCCAGGCAACATCCTTGGGAATCTCCTCTCCACCTTCTCCAGTGCAATAACAAACTTCCTGTAGTGTGGTCACCAGAATTGCACACAGTACTCCAGCTGTGGCCTAACCAAAGTTATGTACAGTTCCATCCTAACCTCCCTTCCAAATACAGCAGAGCCATGTTGGCTGTGTAGCACTTTGGAGTGAGCTGAGCTGGTGCAGGTTCTATATATATGCAAACCTTTAATTTTTATTGTGGGGCAGTAATGACCTGCCACAATACTGTGTGCCTGATGATCTTTCTTGTTGCCATGTTTGACATGGGGTTTTTTAAATGTTCCTCTCTTTTTCTCCCTTGCAGTGTGTTGCTGGTTATCATGGAATCAACTGCTCAGAGGAGATTAACGAGTGTCTCTCCCAACCCTGTGACAATGGGGGCAGGTGCATCGACCTCATCAACACCTACAAGTGTTCTTGTCCTCGGGGGACTCAGGGTATGCTAGCGGGCAGGGAGGGAGGAGTGTGGGGAGGTGAAGCTAAGTTCCATGACTGACTGGAACACAATCCTTTTCCACATGACTGGCAGTGAAGCCTAGTGTGGCACTGGGTTCTGCCAGTAATTTCATTGATGCAACTTGTGTCTGGGCAGCACATGGCGCCACCCTATTTCCTAACACTTTCTTTTTCTGCTTCCCTCCTTCTCCTCATCCTGTCTCTCGCTCCCCCTCTCTCCCGCCTGTCTCTCGCTCCCCCTCTCTCCCGCCTGTCTCTCGCTCCCCTTCTCTCCCGCCTATCTCTTGTTCTTCCCCCATGCCTGTCTCTCATTCCCCTCTCTCCCTCTTCTGTCCCTCATACCTCCTCTCTCCCTTCTGTCTCTCGTTCCAACCCCCTGCCTGTTTCTTGTTTCCCTCTCTCCCTCCTGTCTGTCGTTGCCCCTCTTCCAGGCGTGCACTGTGAGATAAACCTGGATGACTGTAACCCCCAATTGGACTCTCTACCTCTGGACCCTCGATGTTTCAATGAGGGACGCTGTGTGGACCGTGTCGGGGGATACAGCTGCACCTGTCCCCCTGGATTTGTGGGTGAACATTGTGAAGGCGACGTCAATGAGTGTCTGTCAAACCCATGTGATCCTCGAGGGACCCAGAACTGTGTCCAACTCATCAATGCCTACCACTGCGAGTGCCGACCCGGCTATACAGGTGAGGGGGTGAAGTGGGGAAGAACGGGGGATGTGGGGAGTGAGAGAGAATGGAAGAGGGGTGTGGGGTGAAAGTGGGAGAGAATGGGGTTGTGGGGCGGTGAGGGAGAATGGAGGGGGAATGAGGGAGAACATGGTGGTGGGGAAGAAAACGTGGGGGCATGAGGGAGCATGGGGTGTGTGGTGGAGAATTGAGGTGTGGGGAGAATGGAGTGGTGAGGAGATAGGAGGACATGAGATGATCAATATGCGGACAGGATTTGGGGATGGGGGCATTTGTAGGAAGTGGATGTGGAGTGGAGGGTTATTGTTAGGGAATGGGTGCAGGGATTTTGGAGGGAGTGGGTGTGAGCATTTTGGAGGGACTGGGTATGGGTTATGGCGTTGGGGTCAGGGTCAGGGAGTGAATGTGGGAGTTCAGGGTGATGGGATGGGGTTGGCACTGGGAGCTTCCCAGGGCTGACTGAGCTGAATGCCTGTTGTTTTCCAGGGCTCCGATGTGATCGGATTATTGACAGCTGTAAGGACCGGCCGTGTCGAAATGGTGGGACATGCTCTGTCGCTGGGAACACGGCTCACGGCTTCATCTGTCGCTGCCCCTCGGTAAGCCTCACCTCTGCCTTCCCTACAATACACTCACTTACTCCGTCTCTCTCACTCAGCCATGACCTGACCACTTCTTACTGTGTTTACAAGCCCCACCATACAGACTCCTTACCATAGATTTACAAACCATTACAATTTCATTGTAATGTTGTCTATTATTAATCTCTCACTGTTTTATTCTCTCCCCACTCACTGTCTCTCCATCTCTTATATTCTGTGATTCTGTGTCACTCTCTGTCTCTTGTTTTTTGCTATCCCTACACTCTCTATCACTGTCTCTCATATATTGTCTCTCTGCCTCCATTAATCTCTCTCACTCATAATCTCGCAATCTCTTCCTGCTCACTCTGTCACGCTGTCATTCTCTTTGTCTTTCACTCTCTGTCTTTGTCTCTTGTTCTCTCTTTTTACCTGCACTCTTTCTCAACCCCCAATTGGACTCTCTACCTCTGGACCCTCGATGATGTCCCTCATTCTCTCTCTTCCTCCCTCAATCTCTCTCACTCACACTTTGTCTCCCACCTAACTTTCTCTGTCACTCATGCACTCTGCCTCTCACTCTCTCTCCTTCAATCTCTCTCTCACTCTCCTTCAATCTCCCATCTCTCACTCACTCACGCTTTCTCTCTCCCTCATTCTATCGAACTCATTCCCTTTCTCTTACTCTTTTGATCTCTCCCTCTCTCTGTCCCTCACTCACTTTCTCATGGTCTCTCTTACTCTCCCCTCAATCTCTGTCTCACACTCTCTCTGGCATTCTCTGTTGCGCGCTCTCTCACGCTCTCTTCACCCCAATCTCCATCTCTGTCTTTCTCTACTTCATTCTCTCTAACTTTCTCTGTCTCTCTCTCACTCTCTCATGCTGTCTCTTTCCCCCTCAATCTCTGTCTGTCTCTCCCCTTCACTCTCTCTCCTCCTCTCTGACCATCTCCCGCCCCCGCAGGGATATGAGGGAGCATCCTGTGAGAACCAGGCCAGTGTCTGTGGTAATCTGCGGTGCCGTAATGGGGGGACGTGTGTCATGACCCCAGGAGGTTCTCCTCGCTGTGCATGCCCCCTGGGACAAGGCGGGGTGGACTGCCAGCTGCCCACCAGGAACCCGTGCAAGTCCAACCCATGTTACAATGGGGGCACGTGTGAGAGTGTACCCACTGAGCCCTTTTACCGCTGCCATTGTCCCCGCCTCTTCAATGGGCTGCAGTGCTTCATCCTGGATTATGAGTTTGAAGGAGGCAATGGACAGAACATCACATTCCCCCCGAACATCGAGCAGGGCTGTGATAAACCTGAGTGTGTGCAGCTTGCCAAAAATCGTGTGTGTGAGGCTCACTGTAACACTCATGCCTGCGACTGGGATGGCGGAGATTGCTCTCTCAACTTCAACGATCCCTGGAAGAATTGCTCGCACGCTCTGCAATGTTGGCGTTACTTTGGAGATGGGAAATGTGATAAACACTGCAACAATGTGGGCTGCCTATATGACGGGTTCGACTGTCAGAGCATCGAGTCCCAGTGCAAGTGAGTGCCCAAGTGGGCTGCAGGGGCATGGGTGTTGGGGGGGTGGAGGGTGGGGACAGTGGAGGAGGCAGGAGGAGGGACATGGACAGGGAGATGGAGACAGTCAGGGGAGGAGCAGAGAAGGGGATAGGAGAAGTGGGGTATGGAGGGAAAGAGTCAGGGAGAGAGGGCTGCAAGGAGGAGGTTGGGCATACAGGGGTTATGCTGATAACTGTGCCCACTGAGAGGGCAAGTGGGCAGGTGTGAGGGGCAAGAGAATCTGCCACAGGATATCACTACTGGTGACCGCTGACCTTGCTGGAAGAAAGGCATGAGGAAGGATGAGAGAGAGATACAGACATGAAGGGAAAGATATGGAGGAAGGACAGAGAAAACAATAGAAAGGAAACAAAAATGACTATGGGAGGGAGAGCTGGAATGATGGTGCAGGAAGGGAAGTTTAAGATGACGGGGGTGCGGGTGTGTGGTGATATTCTGGGAAAGGGTATGATGGAGTATCACTGTGTCCCGGACACTGATTAATGGAGTTTTCCCTCTCTCCCCCACATTGGAAAGTCCCCTGTATGACCTGTACTGTAAAGATCACTATGATGATGGCCACTGTGACCAGGGCTGTAATAATATCGAGTGTGGATGGGACGGTCTGGATTGTGCCAACGACAAACCACAGAAGCTGGCAGAGGGAACACTGCTCCTCATTGTCCTGGTGCCCCCTGAACAACTGCTGAACGACTCAGTGGGGTTCCTTCGGGAGCTCAGCCACATCCTGCACACCAACGTCAAGTTTAAGAGGCACCCCAATGGTGACATGATGGTTTACCCTTACTACGGGAACAAAGAGCAGCTGCATAGACACCATGTGAAGAGGTCAATGGCAGATGCCAGTGGTCGAGTCATTGACGCATTGAGTCACGTCAAGCGCTCATTCTATGCACTGATGTCCCCACGGAGTCGCAGGGAGTTGGACCGGCGGGAAGTCAAAGGGTGAGTACAGACAACATGTGCCCATCCCCCATTTAAAAAAAAAACCATGACCACTATTTTGTGGAAACGTAGGGGCGGCACATTGGTTCAGTGGTTAGCACTGCTGCCTCACAGCACCAGGGGCTCAGGTTCGATTCCACTCTCAGGTGACTCTCTGTGTGGAATTTGCGTGTTCTTCCCATGTTGGTGTGGGCACTCTGGTTTCCTCCCACAGTCCAAAGATGTGCAGGTTGGGTGGATTGGCCATGCTAAATGCAGGATTTTGGGGATAGGGTGAGGGATGGGATACCCTTCAGAGGGTCGGGGCAGACTTAATGGGCCAAATAGCATCTCTCTGCACTGTAGGGATTCTATGATTCGATGGGGGGGGGGGGGGGGTAGGAAGAAGAGTTTTGCTGAGTGCCCTGGGGCTAATATTCACCTTGTAACCAACAGAGATTATTGGTTCATTGTCACACCACAATTTGAGAGATTTGGTTGGGTGCAAATAGGCACTCACCTTTCCTACATGAAAAACAAGTTGACTGGATTGGATATTGTCTGTGAGGCACTCTGGGTTAGCCTGAGGTGGTGAAGGTGCTACATAAATGCTCTATGTATTTTTCCTTGGCTAGGTCGATTGTTCACCTGGAAATAGATAATCGACAGTGTTACCAGGCTTTCTCCGACTGTTTTGCCAGCACAACAGATGTGGCAGCTTTCCTGGGTGCCATGGCTTCCCAAGGCAGCCTCCAGCTCCCATACAACATTGAGACTGTGGAGAGTAAGTGTGAGACTTTGACATGTCCCCCTACCTTCAGAGGAAAGTGGTGCAGGAAAATAAAGCACACATTGTTCGACAGACTAATTAACCACCTCTCAAAGGGTACCTCTGGTCCAACTTATCAGCTGCCAAATCATTAAGGCAAAAAAGAAGGAATTGATCGGAGTGGATGAGAAGTTGATATCTTTGTAGTTAGGATCAGTCTGTAATTCCTGAGATTTTGACAGATTAATCCTGCTGTGCTAATTTGATGATCACTAAATCCTTTCCCTTCGAGAGCGAGACAAGAGTTCGACTTTCTTCAAGTCAAAAGAAGGAAAATACAAACAAACCCCTAGCACCGTTCTGGGACATTTTTCCCTCTTTCGTTTATGTTTTTTTGCAATTCTGATTACCCATCATTTAACTGACCTTGTTCAGAGAGTTTATCACACCGACTGAATCCTAATTTCTCTTCATGCATCTATATAAAATGGAACCCTCGCAGTTTATAACTCTGCACATACTGTTCGTGGTCTGTCTCTCCTTCTCCCTCTCAACCTCTCCATCTTTCTCACTCTGTCTTTCCCTCTCCCTCCCTCTACCTTCCCCATCCTTCTCTTTTGTGCTTCCCATTTCTTCCCCTGTCTACCTCTTTCTCTCTCCTTCTCTTCCCTTTCTCTCTGTCTGTTGTCTCTCTTTTTTTCCCACTCCTCTTTATCCTTCTGTCTCCCTCCTCCTCTCCTCTCGCTTCCCACTCCCTTTTTTTCTCTTCTATCTCTCCTTCTGTCCTCTTTATCTCTCCATTTCCTCTCCCTCCTCTCCCCCTCCACTCCCTCCTCTCCACGTCCACTCCCACCACTCTTTCCTTCTCTTCTTTCAGCTCTCTCTTCCTCTCTCTCTCCCTTTCTCCTTCTCTCACTCCTTCTCTCCTCTCTTTTTCCTCTCATTGCTTTTCTCTCTCTTCTTGCTCTCTCCCTCTGTCTCCTTCGCTCCTCCCTCCCTCTTTCTCTCCCCTCCCTCTCCTTCTCTCTGTTTCAAGTCTGTTTTGATAATTTCCTCCTCCTGCATTCTCTTCAGGTGAAGGAATTGTGACCATTCATGACGATAACCTGTACCCCATGTATGTCGTGGTGTCTGTGCTCATATTCCTGGCCTTCATTGGGATGGGGGTGCTAGTGTCTCGGAAACGACATCGAGAGCATGGACAGCTCTGGTTCCCTGAAGGTTTCAAGGTGACGGAGAGCAGCAAGAAGAAACGCCGGGAGCCGGTGGGCGAGGATTCGGTCGGGTTGAAGTAAGTCACACTTTAACCATTTGCTATTTTTAGTTTATCAGCTGCCCGGATTGGAGGGTTGATGTGTGAGTGTGTATGAGTGTGTGAGGAGGCGTGTTTCCCATCAGTTTGTCACTGCACCTTGGACAGGCCATAACGTTTCTATTTAATGTCTGAGTATGTGACTGCAGTAACCTTTCCCATCCCCTGGGCTTTGAACCTTAGCAAGGCAGGTAACATCCAGTAGCACTGTCCCCTTCCCTCGCTCTATACCAGTTGGTCAAATGGCCACTTGGTGAGATTTAAATTAATGTCATTCTATTTTACAGTCATATCCTATCTCTCAGAGTCTCTGTACTCAGTTGTCTGTGTGTTTGTCCTCTCTCTGTCTGGGGATCTTTCTCTGTCCATGTCTCTCTGTCTGTATGTCTCCCTTGTCCGTGTGCCTGTATCTGTCCGGGGTCTCTCTCTGTCCGGTGTGTGTCTCTGTTTCGGGTCACTCTCTGTCCGGGTGTGCATCTCTCTCTGCATGTCTCTCTCTCTCTGTCCAGGTGTGTGTCTCTATCTGGGGTCCCTCTCTGTCCAGGTGTGTGTCTCTATCTGGGGTCTCTCTCTGTCTGGGTGTGTGTCTCTATCTGGGGTCTCTCTTTGTCTGGGTGTGTGTCTCTATCTGGGGTTTCTGTCCATGTGTCTCTCTCTGCCTGTGTGTCTTTCTCTGTCCGGGTGTGTGTCTCTATCTGGGATGTCTGTCTCTGTCCGTGTGTCTCTCTCTGCCCATGTGTCTTTCTCTGTCCGGGTGTGTGTCACTATCTGGGATGTCTGTCTCTGTCCATGTGTCTCTCTTTGTCCGGTGGTCTCTCTGTGCAGATTTGTGTCGGAGATTTCCTCCCCCTATTCGTCCGATGTCACTCTCCTCCATTTTCCGTTGATGCAGTTTGTGCCTTTATTTTCTCTCTGTCCTCCATCTCACTCAGGCTCAGGCTTTCATTTAGGGCCTATTGTTCTCTTTAACCAGCTCAATCTCTCTCCATACAGAATTATACTCAAAGAGGCCATTCGGTTCATCTGCTCTGTGTTAGTGTTTATCCTGCACATTAATAATATCCAATCCCAGGAAGCTACTCTGTTTTCCTTTATCCCATATTCATTTTGAAGACCTCTCTAACCTGGATCTTAAATGTTGACCTGATTTCTGCTTCAATCAGTAACTTTGAATGCAAAAACCTCACAACCTCCTCCTGTGAGGAGTTTCTTCAACCCATGTCCTAATCTCCAATTTAATCCTCTGCCTGTGTCCATGGCTCAGGATCCTGCAATCAGCTTCAACATGTCCCATCTCTTATAATGTTAAAGATCTTGATTCAGTTAATAAAGTCAGCTGGAATTTTCCAGCTCTACCTTTTGTCTTTCCTCAGATTAGGCAGTTTCCTGGTGAATCTGAACTTGAGAAACCTCAATATGTCTGTCCTTTGCTATGGAGACTAATATTACACATAGCCCACTCATTGTGGACTTCCTGAGGTTTATGTAGACTTACCATTAGGTCAGAAATCCATTAGACATAGGAGCAGAATAATGCCATTTGGCCCATTGAGTCTGATTCACCATTCAATCATGCCTGATACATGTTTCTCTAACCCATCTCCTGCTTTCCCTTTGTAACCCTTGTTCCTTTGATTAATCAAGAACCTAACTATCTCTGTCTTAAGTACACACAATGACTTGGCCTCCACAGTCCTTTGTGCAATGACTTCCACAGATTCACCGCCCTCTGGATCCTCATCTCAGTTTTAAAGAGTTGTCCCTTCACTCTGAGGGTATGCCCTCGAGTCCTAGGCTCTCCTACTAGTGGAAACAGCTTCTTCTCCATGTCTGCACCTTTCAGCATTCTGTAAGTTTCAATGCCATTCTCCCTCATCCTCAACTGCTCCTCACATGACAAGCCCTTCATCCCTGGGATCATTCTAGACCCCTCCAAGGCCAGCATATCTATCCTTAGATGTAGAACCCAAAACTGCTGATAATATTCCAGATGTGGTCTGACCAGAGTCTTATACAGCCTCAACAGTACATTTCTGTTCATATATTCTAGCCCTCTTGAAATGAATGCTAACATTGCATTTGTCTTCCTAACTGCCAATTGAACCTCACGTTAACCTTAAGAGAACATTAATCTAGGACTCCTAGGTCCCTTTGTGTTTCAGATTTCAGAAGCCTCTTCCCATTCAGAAAATAGTCAATGCCTCTATGCTTGCTACCAAAGGGCATAGCCTCACTCTTTCCTATGTTGTAACTTACTGTTACATCTCACTTTACAGCCCACACATCTATATCTTCTGACCCAGTTTCTATCTGTCTGTTTCATAGAACATGCTGCTCACAAGTTAAATTCTACTTCCTCTGATTTTCCCCCAAAGCACCAAGGCTCCATCACATTCACTATTTCTTAAAGAAAATGTGCTACCTTACCTATTGCCCCAGCGTACCATAGCCAATAGCCTCCCACTCTCTCATAACTCATTCTTCCTCCTCTTTAACTCTCATTTGAATATTTGGACACCAATTCCCACTTCCAACTAATTTGAGAAAGCTATGTAAATCTTCACATTCTTTCTAAGCAGTTTCTATATACAACTTTCTTCTCCTAACTCCACACTCCTTAATTTTTCCAATGGACTGTCGTGCAGCACTTTGTCAAAGGCTTTCTTGAGGTCCATATACACCACATCCATTGTATTTCCCCTGCCCATGTCACCTCCTTAAATAAATCCGTACTTACTACTTCACCTTATATTCTCCTCATAGAATCATACGGCTCAGAAGAAGGCCCTTTGGTCCATCAGCCTATCCTAGCTCTTTGATGTTTCTATCCAATCATAGAATTCTCTTTGTCATTTCCTAACAATCAGCAGTTTTCTCCTTCTCAAGTATTTTTCCAATTCTCTGTGGAAAGCTCCTGTTAAGTCTGATCCCATTGCCCTTTCAGGCAGCATGTCCCACAAACAACACGCTGTGTCAGAAAAAATCCTCTCCCCCTCTGGTTCATTTACCGATTCCCTTTAGTTTATGTCTCTCTGGTCACTGACCCTCCTGCCCCAGAAACACACATTTTTCATTGACTCAGTTAAACCCCTCCTTGATTCTGTTCTGAAGAAGGATCACTGGACCTAAACCACTAACTCTGAATTCTCTCCACCAATGCTGTCAGACCTGCTGAGTTTTTCCAGCATTTTCTATTTTTGTTTCCTGATTTCGATCACCTCAATTAAATCTTCTTCTTAACCTTCCCTGCTCAAAGGAGAACAATTCCAGCAACTCCAATCTCTCCACATTCACTCAACTCCCTCATCCCTGGGACCGTTACAGTAACTCTCCCCCACACTCTCTGCAGAGCCTCAAAGTCAGAATTAGACACCCTGCTAAGACCTAACCAGTGATTTATAGAAAAATAATATGATTTCATAGCTTTCGTATTTAGTAATTTTAATCTTCAATTTGAAATTCCAAGCTTTCATTGGTCACAAGTTTGACTTGTAATATTTGGTTACCATCTAATTTATCCTTCAGATGTTGACAGGATATCTAACTCAGTCACTGGCAGCTCCCTTGTTACTTTCTTTCACTCGTAACAGAATTTTGAAATGTCAGTTCTGAGGGCAAATTATCAGTTCTTGCTTTGTCACACGCACAGATATTTGGGAACGATTTTACGCACTCACCCTTCCTCACTCTCCTGTGTACAACACAATTTATCTCTTTCTCTGCATCTCATTTTGTCTCATTCCCCCTCTCTCCCTCTGCCGCCAGTTCCTCCCTATCTTTTCCTATGTCCTCTCATTTTCTTCTTTCTCTCTCCCTTCCCTTCTGCTTCCTTCCTTCCTCTCTTTTTCCCTCTCTTCTTTCCTTCTGTCTGTTTCTTTCTTCCTTTCCCCCTCCCTCACTCCTCTCCCCTCCCTTCCAGCTTTTCTGCCTTGTAGGTTCCTTCAAGCTTGATGTGATCTAGTGTCAAAGGCAACATTGCCTTTCTGGTCTAACTAGAAGGGTCTTGTTGAGTGAACAATAAGGAGTTTGTCATACACTGTCTGTTTACACAGAACATGAATATCACCCACATCACTACAGACAATGCAAGAAGCTCCTGAGCTTGAGGAATTTCTCATAACTCCTCCTTTAGAGTTCCCGTCACATCGTCACCATACAGTCAATTATTAAACCATTCAGACTCTTTTTCACCCATATACAAAAATTTCCTTCTCTAACCTCCATCCCTCTCCTTCCTGCTCTCCTTCTAGTCCTCCTCCCTCTCTCTTCCCCCCTTTTCTTCTACCAATCTTCTCTTTATCTCTCTCCCAGGCCTTCCACTCCCTCTCTCTCCCCTCCAGTCCTCTCCCACTCTTCCCCCCTCAGTCCTTACTCCCTCTCTTCCCCACCGTCCTCCTGCCCCTGCTCTCTACTCCCCCCAGTTCTCCCCCATCTCGCCCCCCCATCTCTCTCCCTCAACCACCCCCACCTCAGTCCACCACCCCACCCCCACCCACTTTCTGTCCCCCACCTGTCTCTGTATAACACTGGCTGGTGATTTTTCCTGCACAGCTTGAAGCTTTCCTTCCTGAACAGTTTGGGAGGTTCTAAATGTTCCTCCTGTCGAGGAAATGGTGAGGAAACCAGATGGGGCTGGTGGTCACTCATTCCTCATCTGAACTGTTGACAGGCCTTTGAAGAATGTTTCTGATGGAGCACTCATGGATGACAACCAAAATGAGCACTGGGGCGATGACAGGGGGGCTGAAACCAAGAGATTCAAGGTATGGGATCCTGTCTTACATGGTCTTCTCTAACCTCGCCCCTCCCCTGAGCCATCGAATCACCCAGCCTTCTGTGTGACACCTGCTCACTGACTCTTCTCTCCCTCCCCCTTTGCTTCTCTCCCTCCCCCTCTGCCTCTCTCCTTTCCCCATCATCTCTCTCCCCCCGCCACCATCTCTCTCTCCCTTCCACTGTCTATCTCTCTTCCACCATCTCCTGCTGCTTACCCTATCCCTCCCCCTCCTTCTCTCCCTCATTGTCTCCCTCTCCCTCATTGTCTCCCTCTCTCCATTCCCCTCCCTCTCTCCATTCCCCTCCCTCTCTCCATTCCCCCTGCCTGTCTCCATTCCCCCTGCCTGTCTCTCTCCCTCTTCCCTCTGCCTCTCTCCCTATCTGATGATGTGGTTTCTGTTTGTGCTCCTGCACAGTTTGAAGAGCAAGTGATCTTGGTGAACCGTGAGGAGAACACTGACCACAGACAGTGGACACAGCAACACCTGGACGCTGCTGATCTCCGACTGCCCACCATGGCCCCCACCCCTCCTCAGGGGGAGACTGAGTCTGACTGTATGGACGTCAATGTCAGAGGCCCAGGTAAGTTTCTGAGCCGAACACTGTAAATATACAAACACACCGTATAGAGAGCATCATAAAAGTCATATATATTCTATAATACAACCCTGTAACACTCAGTAAATGTTAGTTTTTCAGGAACGGTCAAGAAATTGGTGTGGAGGTCAGAATTTGGGGTGTAATATGGGATAAGAAAGGTTAGATGCAGGAAGGTTGTTCCTGATTGTGAGGGGAGCCCAGAACCAGAGGTCATAGTTTAAGGACAAGGGGTAAGCCTTTTAGGACTGAGATGAGAAATTTTATCATCTAGCCTGTGGAATTCACTATCACAGAAAACATTCGATGCCAAAACAATATATGAATTCAAGAAGGAGTTGGATGTAGCACTTGGGGCTAAAAAGATCAAAGGATATGGGCAAAAAGTGGGAACAGTTGGATGATCAGCCTAGATCATAATGAATGGCAGAGTATGCTCAAGGGCCAAATGGCCTATTCTTTTATTTTCTATGCTTTTATATGGTTTTGGGAGTGAAGTCTTGGGGTTGAGGGTGTGGATTTGGGGTTGAGGGTGAGGGTTTGGGGTTGTGGTGAAGAGCGGGGTGAGGGGATCAGGCTTTTGGGAGCTTGGTGTGCGTTAGTTGTGGGAACGAGGGTGAGGTTACCATTACATGATATCCTGCTGTTACTAACAATCGTTGTTTTCCCGCCAATTTTCCTTCCCAGATGGGTTCACCCCCTTGATGATCGCCTCATGCAGTGGAGGGGGTTTGGAGACGGCGAACAGCGAGGAGGAAGTGGATGATGCCTCCGGGAACCTCATCTCTGATTTCATCTACCAGGGGGCCAAGCTCCACAACCAAACTGACCGGACGGGCGAGACTGCTCTGCATTTGGCTGCACGCTATGCCCGTTCAGATGCAGCCAAACGCCTCCTAGAATCAAGTGCAGATGCCAATATCCAGGACAACATGGGCAGGACCCCTCTGCATGCTGCTGTGGCTGCTGATGCCCAGGGGGTTTTCCAGGTAACACTATCACCTCTGTGACTGATTTCACCAAAAGTCATCACCTCCACTACCAATTTTGCCCAAAACAATCACCTCTGCTACCAATTTCACCAAAAACCATCAGCTTTGCAACCAATTTCACTAAAAACCATCACCTTCACTGCCGATTTCCCAAAAAAACCATCATCTTCGTTATGAATTTCCCAAAAACCATCAGCTCTGCTCCTGATATCACCAAAATGTCACCGGGTGGGTGTTGAGTCATGTAATTGAACGGGGAACAGCCTCAAGGTGCAGAATGCCCTCCATGTATTCCTTCACACTCCCTGTCCTCTCCCCTGATGATCCTGATCCATATTTTATTGTATGCCTGGCAGATCCTGATCCGGAACCGAGCCACAGATTTGGATGCGCGGATGCATGACGGAACCACGCCATTAATCCTGGCTGCACGGTTGGCTGTGGAGGGAATGGTGGAGGAGCTGGTGAACTGCCATGCTGACGTTAACGCCGTAGATGACTTTGGTACAAGACTTACTGCCTCACGTCACCAAACTGAGGCATAGCAGGATCTCAGAGGGGCCTGTCATTGGAACAAATGATAGACAGGGGTCACTGATTTGGAGTTGGATAGTTGGGGTCAGGAGTCACTATTTGCAGGTGAATTGTTAGACTCAAGGGTCAGTGATCAAAAGTCCGTTGTTAGTGTCAGGAGTCACTGATTAAAGGTAGATTGTTGGGGTCAAGGGTCATAATAGGAAGTGGATTATTGGGGTCGGGGTCACTGGTTGGAGGTAGATTGTTGGGGTCAGGGTTCAATGATTGAATGCAGAGTGTGGGTTCATTGTTTAAGAGACAGATTTCCAGGTTTTGGGGGAACACTAACTGAACTGGAATCAAGTACAGGGTTGCTCATATTGATAGACAGTCTTCTCTTTCCAGGGAAATCTGCTCTGCACTGGGCTGCTGCTGTCAATAATGTGGAGGCAACACTGGTCCTTTTGAAAAACGGAGCCAATAAGGACATGCAGGACAACAAGGTAAGGAGATCAGAACTATACTGACATGGGGTGGATGGCGAGGTGAGCAGCTGAGGGTAGAGATAGATGCATGACACAGGACATTCAGAATAATTGACCAAAGAACCAGAAGGAGAGAAGAACAGGAATCCGATTCAATGAGAATTCACTAAATGTAATGTAAGGGTTAATGCCAAGAGAGCTGGAACTATTTGGATAGCTCGTTCAAAGAATTGGCACAGACACAATGGGCTGAATGGTCCTCCATGTTGTATGATTCGTTGTTACGCATGCAGACAGGATGGGATTTCGTGGGTTTGACTTTCTGGAACCTTCTGGTGCTGAGCTGTGTTAATCTCTGTTCCCTTGTTTCTCCGTCCCCACTCAGGAAGAGACCCCACTGTTCCTGGCAGCTCGGGAAGGGAGTTACGAGACAGGCAAGCTCCTGCTCGAGCACTTTGCCAACCGTGAAATCACTGACCACATGGATCGACTGCCTCGTGACATTGCTCAGGACCGCATGCATCATGATATTGTGAGGTTGCTAGATGAATATAACTTGGTGAGGAGCCCCCAGGTGTCAATGGGCCCCAACACCACCACCCTCTCCCCGACAATCTGCTCGCCCAATGGCTATGTGGCCAACCTTAAGTCAGCCAGTCACAGCAAGAAGACCCGGAAGAACAGTGCCAAGGCTGGGAGTGGCAAGGACTCCAAAGAGGCCAAGGCAAAGAGGAAGAAATCCCAGGATGGGAAGGGAAGCCTACTGGACAATCCAGCTGTCCTGTCCCCCGTCGATTCCCTGGAATCCTCCCACACCTACCTTTCGGATGTGGCCTCTCCTCCTCTCTTGACATCCCCATTCCAGCAGTCACCCACTATCCAGCTAAACCATTTGCAAGGACTAGCTGGGGATGGGCAACTGAACCTGGGCCACTTGGGCATGGGCAACAAGCAGGAGATGGCTCTGAGTGGGACTAACAGGATGGTCTTCGAATCAGTGGCTCCTCGCCTCACGCATATGCCCAGCTCCAATGGGCAGCCTCTGGGCAACACTTCAATGGGCATGAACCTGGGAGGGGCTGGGACCGTGAGCGGTCAGTGTGACTGGCTGGCTAGGATGCAGGCCGGAATGCCACAAAACCTTTACAGTGCCTTGAGGAACCCAGTCCAGTCCCAAGCCGGCAGACTCCAGCAGAACCAGCACGGAATAATGACCTCCTTACATAGCGGACTCCCTAACACCACTTTGTCTCCGATCGTCAACTACCAGGGTCTGACCAACACCACGAGGCTGTCCCAACCCCATCTGATACAGCAGCAATCACAGGCCATGCAGCCCCTCAATACATTGCCCAGTGGAAATGCTCACCCCACGAGTCAAAACTACTGCAATGGTGATTCAAGGCAGAATGATCTGTCCCCAATGGGGGCAAACAACCTCCCCATGCACATGGTTTCAGCTCAGGAGACACAGCTGGTCCAGACGTCAATGCCAACCTCCATGAGTCAGTCAATGGCCACCACACAGTTCCTGACTCCTCCCTCTCAGCACGGGGGCTACTCCTCCATGGACAACACGCCAAACCACCCTTTCCCATTGGCTGACCACCCTTTCCTCACCCCCTCCCCGGAGTCCCCTGATCAATGGTCCAGCTCCTCGCCGCATTCCAACATGTCAGATTGGTCAGAAGGTATCTCCAGTCCTCCAACCAGCATGCACTCCCAAATGGGACATCTCTCTGACCAGGTCTTCAAGTGAATTCCTCTTTCCCCGCAACATCCTCCTCTTTCTCCCCACATCCAGCCTCCCCCTTCCCTTCCCAGGGGACAATGACAGAGACTTGTAACAGGACAGTGAGAGAGCCTTCAACTGGACTGTAGGAAGATACTGGCCCAGTTTCTGCTCTGGTTTGAAAGAAATGAGGATGGGGTGGAGTTTTATTCTTAGCTTTTTGTTTAATTTATTTATGTACTTTACGTTTTACTGCATTCTTTATTTAAAAGCATCGATGGGTTTTATCTGTTGGTGTTGAAGAGGTGGCCGATTGTCATGTGTTTGCTGATCTCCTTTACAAACTTGGGCGGTTAGAGACTGTTGCTTTTGTAGAAATCTGACAATTCTTTTTAAAACAAAAAATTATATAGCTGATATTTGTGTCAATTGGTTTGTGGCCAAATAATTTGTTGCTAATAATTAATGCATAAAATAATGTGACATATTTATACGAGTTCTGAATCTTCACAGAAAGGAGTAAAAATGAATATAAACATGTATTTGTGTACCCCTTGAATACCAATACTCACTCAATCACTTGCTCAATCAATCACACTCATTCATTCACTCACACATTCACTCACCCTCACTTATTCACTCACCATTTCTCTCACTCACTCACAGTCACTCATTCTTTGTCTCACTCACTCATTTATTCACTCAATCCCTCACACATTCATTCACTATCTCTCTCACTCACACACCCTTCAATCACTTGCTCATTTAATCACTCATACTTACACACATTCACATGTAATCGTGTACGCACACTGTCACAAACACTTGCACTTTCACACATTCACCTGTACACACTCTCGATTACCCTGTTAGCTGCACAATGCAGGGTGTAGCATGAGAGTGTTGAGTGTTCCAGCTGCACAATGGATAGCATGGCTTTCAGAAGATGCTCAGTTCCTGTAGACTGCACACGCTAAAAACATCATGAGTGTGGCTTTCAGTCTTATCGTGGAGTTGCTGTGTACAATATTGTCCTGAAGATTCTGATATCGTGGTCTCAGCCCCTGAAATTGAACCCAAGAAAGTGAGCACTTGTGATCGATACCAGGAGAGATGCTTTTAACTTGTTTTTGTAACCACCTTGTGAAGATGTTTGTTTATTTCAGTTATTTCAATAATGACACTATGTTCTTTTTTTAAAAAAGTAGCATTTAAGTTATTCTGGGTTGGGGGGGGATACTGAGGGTAGGGGCGGGGCGTGTGTGGGGGGGTTCAAAATATGAATAGTTTGGGTTGTTAAGAACTAGCAGGCAAGTTCTACACCCAGATGTATTCCTCAACCTCCACTCTCCACCAACACTGGCACCAAGTTCCCCCCCACACCCCCATGCAGTGAATATATCCTTCCCCACTCCCTAACACCGGCACCAAGTGCCCCCCCCCAACTCCAACTCTGCAGTGGATATATCCTCCGCCACTCTCCAGCAACACTGGCACCAAGTTCCACTTCCCCACCCCAGGCAGTGGATATATCCTTCCCCATTCCCTACCTCCCCTCAGTTTTGACACCTGTCAAAATTTGAATGTCACCAGTTTATAGTGATTGCCTCCCGCTCTTGTCATTATCAGCAGGATGCCACAGCTGGAGGCTTTAAAGGGGGCTGGATGGGGCTTGCAAGAGGGGAGAGGGTGGGGAATATATCCTAATTCTGGGGTGACAGTGTGGGGTGAGGCAGGGAAGGGTGGGTAATATGACAGACACAATGCCTTTATGTACAATCCCTCAAAATGTGGAATTCCTAAGGGGCAGCTTTCCAATTGGAGACGTGGGGATTGCCTTTGAAAGCAGGCTGTGTAAAGGATGATTGGGCTGTTCAAGTGAGAACACCATTTCTGTAGACGTTGTAAATAAACAGTGATTTTTAAAGAAGATTTTGTTTCAGAAATCTGTATGATGTAAGCGAGACATTTAAATCTATCCTGACTGTGCATCGCAGCATTTTATAGACTCCAAACTGCCCATGAGAAAATATTCTGGTTTCATAACAGTCAACCAGTGGGGTCTATTCTAAAAATCTGGTGTATTCCTGTTAACTGCTTTTTGTAAAAGGTTCTTATAACAATAAAACTGTGCCAAGGGCATCTAGATCTGCTTTGACTGCCTGCTTGTTCTTCATTTCCAGAGACTCACCATGATTTGGCTTTGGTTCCTGCCTCTTTCTGTACAGATTCCCTCACTCCAGTCCTTCACCTCAGAGAAAGACAGCATCCTGAATCAATACAACCTTTCATCTTTATCATCCCAGGATGTCCCCCGATGCTTCAATGAAGCATAAATCAGACATAATTGACACTGAGCCGCATCAAATTATTAGAATAGGTGATCAAATGGTTGGTCAAAGAGGTAGATATTGAATCAGCATGTACAAATCTGAAAGGGTTAATGATGAGAAGTGCCATATGGATTTGGAGGAGAGAACAGCTTAGAATCTTGAAGGAGTGGGATACTCTAATCCCACGTAGTGGCAGTGTCACTGGACTCGTAATCCAGAACCCCAGGGTAATGTTCTGAGGAAGGGTCACCGGACCTGAAACTTAAACTCTGTTTTTTCCTTCACAGATGCTACCAGACCTGCTGGGCTTTCCCAGCAACTTTGTGTTTATTGCTGTCAATGTTTTGGGGATATGGGTTCAAATCCCACCATGGCAGTTGGTGAAATTTGAATTCAATAAAAAAAATCTAGAATTAAAAACTAATCTCATTGTGAATATGTAACCATTGTTGATTGTTGTAAAAGCCCATCGGGTTCACTCGTGTCCCATAAGGAAGGAAATCTGCTATCCTTGGTCTGGCCAAATGTGACTCCAAACAAGCAGCAATGTGGTTGACTCTTCCCTCTAGTAACTAGAGATGGGCAATAAATGTTGGCCTGGTCAGCAATGCTCACAGCTCATGCACAAATAAATAGTGATTCAGATCCTCTGATAATCTCTGTAATAATATCTGTCACATTAAATTGTACCTAGTTGCTGTCATGCAATAAACTACATGTGATTCAAGACAAGAGCCTTGTCTTATTAGACTTCCGCATGAGACTACACAGGCCCTGAAGACACAAGAGAAAGGATGGTTCCAGCAAATCTGCCAGATAGCTCATACAACATGGTGGCAGCGGTGAGCATACCATTTAGCTGTCTCCTCCTGCTGGCAGGGCTGCGGTCTGAAGATTTCCTCAGACAGCTTCCAGAAGGCAGCTTGTGCACACAGTCAGCAGAAGGAAGGGTTCGAGAACCCGACAGAGAAGAGAATTGTGATTACACTCCCGATGCAGAACCTACAGTCAACGGTAAAAGATGCGACCTAATAAGAAATGTGAGTGTAAGCTAGAATCTCCATGTGTAGCTGGAACACCAGTCAAACTGAAACAGTAACATATCATCGGCACTGGTGCAAGAGTGATCCTGAGTCAATATTCAATTGGAGATTGAACGGACAGTAGGCAGTCCGTGCCTGAAGATGAAACCCCTGTTGGAAAGGGGAAAACATGTTTTTAAAAATGGTGCAGTATTACTGGGTTGGGAAAGCTAGAAGGAAGCAAAGGGCTTATATTTAGATTAATTGTTACTGCCATAGCTGACACTATGAGACACAGCTACAGTAATAAAAATCAAAGACCAAAGTAGCAATTTAAAATAGATCATGTCACAAAACCAGAACTAAAACAATATTAGGGCCAATCAGAAGCTTAAACAGACAAAGCCTAGTGAAAAGCAAAAACGTAGAGAAAATATGAGAGATCTGGTATTGAAAAAACAAAATATAAAAATATTTTTTCAAATCGTGGAAGCAACAGAATGATTCTTGAGGGCTCCAGACAGCAGGAATCATTGGGGAAAAAAGCAATGAATGTATGTGATTCACCTTACAAGGACCGCAGGAAGCAGGATTCATTAAAGTTGCTCAAGAATGATTTATCACGGCCACAATTATCAAGATCCATTTAGAAAAGCTGTGAAATAGGCAGGAATCGGCTTTCAGAAGACACCAATCCTCCAAATATTTTCCAGTGGAACAATCGCCAATTTCAGTGGGAAAGACACTCATTGAATGTCATCCTAGAACTTATAGGTTTCCAGTCTAAAGGAACATTCAAGACTCAAACTGTCAGGCACAGACTCAAAATCTAACCATTTTCAACCCAGAGGCCAACCAGTCTCCCAACTTGAAAGAAAATTCATTCTGGTACCATAGTAAAACACCCAGATCGTCTGAATTTGTGAAAGTGAGATTCTGGGGGGAGATTCGTTTGTGGTAAATTATATTATATTCATGAATGTAGATATCTTTGTTCTGATTCCAGCTAATGATGATACTACACAAGAAAGACCCCAGAGTGAAATCTGATCAATGAGAAGATAAATGTTAGAACTTGGTTATTGTGGTGGTTGAACACTGAACATACCATCACGAGGCTGTTAATGTTCTTTAACAAAAGAACCCAAGCTTTTAACACAAAAAGCTATACATTTATAAGCTATAAATATATAAATAAATATATTATTAACATAAACAGCAAAATAACATTTTGACTATTTTTTGACTCCAGCAATGTCTTTTACAGATACTCAATTCCACTGAAGTGTCACTCCTATCTTAACTTGTTAATTTCTTACTTAATTAAGCCATTCTGGTTATATAAGCTAAACCTCTTTCCAATTCTGACAGGTTGAAAACTTCTACACAAACTCTCACAGCTTGGAAACTTCATTAACCAAGCTCTCCCAGTCTGGAGATTTCTACACAGTTCACAAACCTGACCTACTGCTAGGATAACACCTGATTTTTCTGATCTGAAGGCAAACTATTGGTGATCTCTCTTTTTTATGTAAGTCATAAAAGTTCAACTTTGTGAACACTTTATCAATTAACCCCACAGGTATCTCATCAAGGTATTTAACTTAAATTCCATGCTTTGTTTCAAATAATTAGTTAGTTCACTGTTCCAAATGAATTTCTGACCTTTTTAAAAAGTTACCTTTGCAGTACTGAAACTATAAATCTATTTACCTCCACTTTAAAATAGAAATTTCCAAATTAAAATATAAATTGTCATTCTGCATTCATAATGGATGAATAGCTTGAGGGAGAAATGCTGCATCAGGACATCAAGGTCTGAAAGGATTAATATTGAGGACTGCCTTAAGCATCACCCACTCTGTAAATGTTGCACAGGTTGAGGAAACAACACTACAAGATTTCAAAGGAATCAAATTTACCATCCAGCTTTTCCTTATAGTGTCAAACAATGTCTATCATATTAATGTAACTTGTAGATAGTTGCTATTATGTAACAATTTTTATTCATTTATTCATGGGATTGCAGGTGGAGCTCTGCAAAATGAATATTTATTGCCTATTCGTAACTGCCCTTGAACTGAGGGACATTGTAAAACCACATCAGAGAGCAGTTAAAAATCAGTCACATCACTTGGGGTATGGAGTCACACATAGACCATACCAGGTAAAGATTTTTATGGGTTTTTAAATGATTAGCAGTGGTTACATGGTCAGTTTTTAATTCCAGATTTGTAGTGAATTCAGTTTTCAGCATTAGGCATGGCGGGATTTGAACACATCCGGAGGAATCAGCCTGGCTCGCCTGATCACTAGTACAATGACATTGCCACTAGGCTACCACAGACAAGAGCTCCTTTTGGTTAGAATACTAATTGGTTTCAGTCAATGAATCCAGTCCAAGCAGGCCCTGTAAATCCCCACCAGAAAAGTGGAAAGAGTGAGAGAGGTGGAGAGTCTTAAGAAGGCAATTCCAGTGCTTAGGCCCCATCCTGCCGAAAGCTGCCAATGGTGAAGGAGTTACGCTCAACAATGTACAAAAGGGCAGAATTGCAAATGTGAAGCTTTGCCCTATAAAGAGACCTGAGTCCAGTAAGCATTGGGACAGGCTGTGTGTGTGTGTGTGTGTGTGTGTGTGTGTTGGGGGGGGCGGTGGTGAGAAAGAATGCATAAGTAGAACATGCTGAATTCAGGAGATGTAATTCACATTCAGTGAGGTTGTTTTGAAGAGTTGTCACTGTTGCAACAATCATAGAAGCTACTTTGTGCATAGCATGTTCCCAACAACAGCAACACAGTATGAGAATGATCATGCCATCCGTCTCTGAATAACATTAGTCAAGAGAGGATATTGGCCAAGACACCGAAGGGAAGTTCTCTGGTCTTCATCAAACTAGCAGCAATGAGATCGTCTACCTCCACCTCAGAGGTCACATCAGGAACAATGAAAGACAATGTTGTCAACAATACAGCAGTGCACCCTCAGTACTGACCCTCTGACAGTGTGGCATTTGCCCAAAAACTGACCCTCCAACAGTGCGACACTCTTTCAGTACTGATCCTCCGACAGTGTGGCACTCCCTCATTGCTGACCTTCTGACGGTGCGGCACTCGCTCACCACTGACTGTCCGACAATGCAGCACTCCTTCAGTACTGACCTTCCGACAGTGCAACACCAAAGGAAAATCTTCTGGTCTTCATCATACTGGCAGCAATGAGATCTTTTACCTCCACCTCAGAGGTCACATCAGGAACAATGAAAAACAATGTTGTTCAATGCATCCTCTGTACTGCCCTTCCGAAAGTGCGGCACTCCCTCACTACTGACACTCCCTCAGTACTGACCCTCCAACAGTGTGGCACTCACCCGGCACTGACCCTCTGGCAGTACTGAGCTCCCTCAGTACTGACCTTCCGACAATGCAGCACTCCCTCACTACTGACACTCCCTCAGTACTGACCCTCTGACAGTGTGGCACTCTCTCAGGACTAACCCTCTGACAGTGCGGCACTCCCTTAATACTCACCCTGTCTGAATTGGCAACATTGATTCATAACTCATTTGAATGAGGTTTGGACCTTTTGAGTGGCCCACTTACATTGTGTGTGCTGCTGGTTGATGACACACCTATCAGAGTCACACTCCAGCCTGGAAGTTGTCAACTCAAGTCCTCATTTTCACAGTGACAGGTTCATTCTTTAGAAGTCCCAGCACAAACTGATTCTCACTGGGGTACAGCTTCTACACACACTGACTCATTGGGGTATGGTTCACCCACACACTGACTCCCACTTGG